CCCCCCCCCATCTTCCAAAGTTCAACACCAGAGCAGCCAAATGCAATGCGACGATCCTGAGGAGTTGTCATTGTTTGTATCTGCTGTCTGTTCGGTTGCGTTTAAGCTTTCTATTCTTTCCAACTCTCTTCTGAAGTGTTAGAAGACTTGTTACTCACTCTGGCTTGGGATTCCCCTTGGCTTCGCATGTCATGGGGAAACTCTCATCAAAAGGGAAGGCGATGAGAGAGCTGGGGGGCTGAGCTGTGATGGTGGGCAGCTGCTCAACTGGGAAGCAAACAAACAAGCACACATGAAGATTAAAGCTGCAATGAAAGGCCCACACACAGTAACTGATTCTCCGGCTGTGGCTGAGTGGTTAGAGCAGTCGTCCTCCAATGCAAGAGTTGGGGGTTCGAATCCACCAGCAGTCACATGCCGAAGTGTCCATGGGCAAGACACTGAACCCATCATTGCCTCTGATGTGTGTCCCATCAGTGTATGAATGTGATAAAGCGCTGATTAGTCTCTTTAGAATAATTTGGTCAATTAGCTTTGTAGAGATCTAGTAGAGTGCTGTTTGAATGGGTAAATGAGGACACAGATTGTAGTGTAAAGAGCTTTGAGTGTCTTGATTAGATAGAAAGACGCTATATAAGTACAGTCCATTTACCATGTGCAGTTCATTCCTAAATATGCTGATTCCAAGCCTGTAACTGACAACCCCCCCTCCCCCATCATAAACTTTAATAGACCAGTTTACTTTGAAAACTGTACAACTAGACTTTTCTAGTTTATTTACCAAATCCAAAATAATCAGGACAGAACATTTGGAGGATTTACACTCACAGGTTGGGAACCACTATTCTACAATGTCTACTATGTTTACTGTTTTAGTTCAGATGAAGAATGGTAAAAAATGTAAACAATAATTAGTGAGAATGAATACACATTTTGTCTAAAAAGCTGAAAGTTGGGTGGATAATGTGGTGATAATGTGTGACAAATGACAATTGGTTGCTTTTTGGGGAAAACATTGACAGAGCACATTAAAGAAGATCATTTATGTTAAGAAAAGACAAAGTTGTAGATGTTTGGTCAAACCTTAAAAAAAAAACATTATATGCGTCTAATGACTCTCAGCTATTACCACATCATATTTTTGCTCAATATCTGTTAATTTGACTGAGTTTTAAACTTTTTTTTTTTTTCCGAACTGGCCTGACTTCAAAATGTAATCATTTTCATTAAAGCTTCATTAATTTCATTACAGATCTTAATGTTCCATATTTTCCAAACATACCACTTTGCTCTCAGACTGTAGGTTTACCAGTGGTTCCTAGAGTTTCCAAAATAAGAGGAAGAGCTTTCAGTTATCAGGCTCCTCTCTTGTGGAACCAACTTCCAGTTTCAGTCCGTGAGGCTGACACATTGTCCAGTTTTAAGACTGGACTTAAGACTTTCTTTTTGATAAATCCCATAGTTAGGGTCGGATTGGGTTTCCTGACTTATCCCTTAGTTATGCTGCTATAGGTGTAGACTACTAGAGGACAAATTGACCTCATTTCATCAAATGGATAGTTACAAATTAATACAACTGAATAGTTTGTATTTATAATTATTTCTATCTTAACATGTGTTTTTTATTTGTCTTTCCTCCTAGAGAGGGACCTGCTCGCCTCCATTCTGGAACTGTCATTCTGGACCTGTCATTCTGTGTCTGTTCCTCCTTTCAGGCCTCTTAGGTTGTTTTCACACCTGATAGTGCAGTAGACTCGGTTCTATTGGGGACCAATATTCAGATCATTTGTTACATTTTCAGTGGGTGTGGTTCACACTGCACTGAGTTATTTGAGCCAACCTGCTACCTCCCTTGCCTGTGGTGGTGCTGCCCCAAGAACTACTGAAGGAAATAACAAAGTCCATGCTCAATAATCCAGGTATACAATCCAACATTTTTCAGTCAGGTCATCTGGACAGTTTCTTTTTTTGTGCTGAAATGTTTCGCCTTCGATCCGGAAGGCTTCATCAGTCAAGGAAACTGGGGGAAGAATCAGTTTTGTTTTGTGGTTCCTTGAAAAATATTGGATTGTATACCTGGATTATTGAGCATGGAATTTGTTGTTTTCAACCAGATTGACACGACTGTCAACAAGGAAGAGGGCCGGCAATGGAGGAGGGGGCGTACCAAAGAGACCAACTTATCACAAGCAAAACTGGTTTGTTCCACTTTGGAGTAAGCTGTTGGGGGAAGAATCAGTTTTGTTGTGTGTTTCCTTGACTGATGAAGCCTTCTGGATCGAAGGCGAAACATTTCAGCACAAAAAAAGAAACTGTCCAGAAGACCTGACTGAAAAATGTTGGACTGAAGGAAATGACAAGAAAACCTCTGAAGATAACACTGAGTGCAACTTACTTCTGGTAATAAAAAGAAAATTGAGTGGTGTCAAATTTGAGTGGTTTTAGGATTTATGTTATGTCATTTTTCAACAATGGACTCAGCATGAGCAGAAGATGAGGAAAAGACCATGGAGAATGTTGTTTTTCACACAAGGCGCCTGACAGCTCCGTATGAGGTAAAAGAAATGTGCGTTTGTTTTAGTTGTATTTACACAGAATGCCCTGCGCTGTAGTCCACTTCCTGCTTTTGTAGCAGTCTCCGGTCCCCTTGCATTCACATTGCTTTCGAACCGCAAGTTCACTTCAACCGAACTGAGACCTAGGTTTTTAGGTGGACCAGAGTTCACTTTTTTGGTCTGCATCAGAGTTCGATTGCACATTCACACCTCCCCAAATGAACTAAACTTTCTAGGTAAATGGACTAGAGTTTGATTAAAGTGGATTAAACAGGGCTGGTGTGAATGCACCCTTAAACCCTAGCTGGTGGAAGCAAATGGTTGCTCATCCTGAGCATGGTTCTGCTGGAAAATTCTTCCTGTTAAGAGGGAGATTTTCCTTTCCACTGTTGCCTTGTGACAGCTCAGGATGGGAGAATGCAATGAAATTAAGACTCAATGCAATGCTTCCTTCCTTCCTTATAACTTTTACTAATTGGCATTCATAATGTATGTGAATGTTTCTGTTCAGAGCCCTGAGATAACTTCTCTTGTGACTTGGCGCTATATACAGGTAAATCAACTGAATTGAATTAAAACCCATCAAGGATTTCATAAGATATTACGCTAACAGAGAAACAAGGCTGGCTCCAACAGTTATTGCTACTGTTTTAGGCCAAGATGACTGACAGTTAGCTGTGGCAGCCATCTTGATTTGGATTGGCTCCAAAGGTTGAATGACTTATAGATATTTATCTAAGCAGTAATTTTTAAAAGTTTAATTAAAATCTGTCCTCATAGAACAGAAACAGATAATTTATGATTAGGGCTGTTTGATATTTGATAAACTTGTAATGTTTTATTCATAATTTATATTATTGATTATTATTGCAATGACAATATAAATTATGATAAACCTGCAGTTCCCTCATCACTGTCGTCTGATCCAGATGTGGACATCAAGGCCAAAAGAATCTGTTAGATCAACTAAATATATTATTTTCAAGCAGAACATGAGGGTTTTTTTACACATGGATCCAAAAATGATTCATGCAGCACTTCAGAAAGAGACGTTGTTTGAGATGCTCTTTTCAAACACTTTCTGGACTACAGATGTTGGCAGTTACTGAAGTGATGAGAGTTAATTATATTAGCTCTGTCTTGGAAGCCATGTCGGCGTTCACTTTAATCTCTTAATAGATTTTTTACACATCAGTTGCCGGTGCAGAGGTTATGGAAGAAGGAAGTTCTCTCTCGCATATTAAGCTACTTTTGCCCAAAGGTTTAGGTTTTCTCTTCATGTGTTTGCAAACAACTAATTTAGTTTGGACTGTTTGTTTGGATAATATTCAGTGTTGCAAAGTGTGAGGGTAATTGAAAATAGTGTTTAAAACATATTTTATTTGTGTATTCAATGCAGTCAATGTGTGAACAAAGTTAAATATTGGGAAAAAAACAGAAAGTCATAGTACACATTGCTTGAATAAATTGAATATTTTGATAATGGTGGCTGAGTGGTTACAGCAGTCGTCCTCCAATGCGAGAGTTGGGGGTTCAAATCCACCAGCAGTCACATGCTGAAGTGTCTCTGGGCAAGACACTGAACCCCTCATAGCCTCTGATGTGTG